ATTAAATAATTCGATTTTAGTTTGTGATACAATTTGATTTCTTCTCAATCTCTATTAAAACCTCTTTAATAATATCAAAATTTAAAACAGTTCCATCTTCTAAAACAAATCCTTTATCTAAAACGTGGTTTCTCAGTAATTTGAGGCAGAGCGCGAAATGAGACCTCTGATTAAAACAAACTGCACATTTTGAAAAGAACCGAGAACTTTGTCCAGTTTAGAGTCATAGCAGAGTTTTCAATCTATATGCATTTCTTCAAAACTGAGAACGCATATTTTTTCTAAAGAATAGAAATATTCGCCTCTTTTCTTCTTTAGAGTAAGAACATCATTTTGAATTCTTGGACTACATTAAAATTTAGCGTACCATTAATCTTTAATTTGCTAATACTAGGTAAAGATATTCCATTTTTTTCTTAATTTTTTTTTCCTTCAAAAATCATAGCTTTAAGATGACAGAGCTCTTATGACAATGCAACGTGAAATATCTTCACAATCCACCTGATTTTTGTCCTTCTTTTTCAGTAATACATAAATCTGCGTCTTTATAAAAATAGGCTTTAGACATTTTTTCAAATTCTCCGATTTGTGCTCCCCCCCCCAAAAAAAATGCGCTATTTGAGATTTTAATTTCTGATACCAATTTCTGTCTAGATGTCGTCCACCTTCTTTGCCGCTGAACAAACATTCTAAAATTTTTCTTTTCTCTATTTTTCAATATTTTAATACAAAACCGTAGTTTATTCGGTAGTAGGTTCAGGCTCGGCAGAGACCATGGAGGTAGGAAAGGGAGGAGGGGCCAACCCGCGCTAAAAGTGAAGCACTGCTTTGAAGCCTGGGTCACCAGATGGGGTATTCTTTGTTTACATTCAGAAGCTCGCTTGACAAGATTTTGATAGTATTTCGACACACGACAGTTCCATAGAAATCGAAAAAGGGACACTTTCGCATGAAAGAAACATTCATAGTGTGATGGATAATAGCAATTTGTATAGTTTAGTGACATTTACGCAAAAATCACATCTTGGTTATTTTTCGATAACTAACAACAACAGCGATTTTGATTATGAATTTGTTTTATAAAATTATAAGCTGTTGCACTACAAAAATATAGATTTTAAGAAAAATGTTATGCTTAAAGAATGAAAAATACCTACGGTACATTTAAAATTGTGTATACGTCTTTCGACACCTTCCTGACAGAGTATTCGCTACTTTTATTTTTATTTTCCAAACGTCAAAATGTTTTAAATAAAACAATTTTTTTCACATCCATATATATTATTGTAACATGTACCTTTTAAAATTTTTAGAGGAGAGCTTTACTGCTTTACTGCTGCTCTTTTTAAAACCCATCGTTTTAATTTTATATATCTGAAAAATAATCACTTTGGGTTTACACGTTTTATAAATATAAAATTATGTATGTTAAAATATTTGTAATTAGGCACATAGGTCAAATTAAGTATTTATTAAATAGAGTAACGCATGCAAGGGCTATCTGCCTAAAGAGAGAGATGCCATCGTGGAGGAATTTTGAAACAAGAACTGACCTTTGAGTGGCTATTAAAAAAAATACTTATAATTTTCATCAAATTATATTCATATATATTTTTTATGTAAAACTTTCGGGTGTATGCTAAATTAGTGTAAATTACTTTACACGAAAAATATAGTGAATGCACAGAAATTAAAGATTTGCACATGCCGGAAATGAAAAATAGGAAATATGTATGGTTATTTATGCATGTGCTTGCAAAAAGCATGTATCTGCCTTGACAAAGTACTTAAATATTCATTAAATTATTTTAAATGTATTTGAAATGAAGAATTTATTCACTTATAAACAAATGTGAAATACTGTGAAGAAATCTAATGATTAAATGTATCTAATTTATAATGATTATAAATGTTATCTAATATATAATAACCTTAATATTGAATTGTAAACATAAATTGAAATCCTGTTGACAAATACGTTATAAAACTATTTAAGCAAGAACTGTTCGTATTGGAAAGCAATCTGTTAAAAAGGTATTGTAACGCAAATGCTATGAGATGCGCACTTAAGACGTAATAAAAAGTTTTGGAATATGTATTGTTGAAATAAAGGGTAAAAAAAAAATCTGATAAGTATAATTAAAAGAATTATTCCCTTTACATTTTACATTTTATAATAACTCAGTTACAAGTTTTAAATAATACTAAAAAGAAAAAAAAAAAAAAAAAAAAAAAACTTTTTATTCATTCCCTTTCAGAAATGTTCAGAGAAAGTCAAATACTATTTAATACATATTTAATTATTAGGAATTAGCGAAATACTTATTTAAAGTATTTCGCTAATTCCTAATAATTCTCTCATTTAAAATGAACCGAATAGAGCATTAATTATAAATTGACTTACATGTTTCGATTTAAAAGAAGCCAAAAAATCATGTCATATTTAAGAAAGTATTTTAGGAAGAAGGTCAATAATAGAAAAGAAATAATGCATAATTTTAATATTAATAATACAATAAACTTTGATCTTAATTTTTGTACCTTAACCGAATAAAATCGAATTACCTTAATTTTTTTTCTAATGTAATTAACGAAACTTGTGAAAATATTTCATTCAAATTAAACCATTCTGAGAAAACTGTCCTGTGAAAAGTCTACCATTTAATTCCGTTCAGAATGAAATGTTGTTTAAAAATATGTTGTTTTTACATACTTAGGACTCTGAAGTGTCGTAGAAAAAGAAAATATATACATTTATATGTATATTTGCGACGTAATTACAAAATATTTACACCCGACGCGTCCAAATCCATAGAACTCAATGGTAAATGATCCAATGTTTTGGTCACCACGTAGGGATCGCCGGTGCTTCAGAGCAGGGTACGGAGAAACTTGTTTAGGGCGACTCCATCTTACTTCCTACCTCCATGTACAGATGAGGGGGAGCTCACATACCCTATTAATGTCCTTTTTTTTTCATTTTATGCTGTTTATTTTCACTTTATACATAATTCTGTTTAAGTCTACAGTATGTCATTATCTGATAATTTACAAAAATTTAATATTGTTTTCATTTCTGTACATAATTATTGTTTTATGCATAAATATATATGCTACTTTCCTGCCGAATTTTGTGTCAATCAAAGCAGTATTTGTTGATTTTTTTGCATTTTACATCTTCGTGCTTAACTTTTGGAAGTGAGTGTATTTAAATGTCGTTTAGCTGAACAATATTCCCTGGCAATAAAAATTTGAATATCGGGCCCATATACTTTTGTTTTTACTTCATAAAATTCATTGTTTCTTATAAAACGCTTTTTTCTGTTATTATAAGTTCACTCGTGGTGTTTCACTGTGAGGGTAATTTTATCATCTATTAATCTACTTCCTGATAAGCTATCAAGTTCAAATTTTGTACACACACTGTTTGGTAATGACAATTAGTGCAGTGAAGCGATTTTTTCTAAATTCGATTTAGAATTTTTTATTAGCCTCAAAATCAAATTTTATGTGGCGTAAGCACTAATAATGTGATATGTAATAAATAAAGTTAAACACAAAATGTTAATAATAAAAAGATTTAAAATTTGTAAAGCTATCTTAGCAAGAAAATTGAATAGCGATATGATGAAAAAAAAAAAGTGCATGCCAGCATTTAACACTGCATCCGGAAATCTAAACGTATGCTGCGTTTAAATGTTCTTTAATTTTGTTGTTGAATTGCATATGGTGTAAGTCGAAGAAAGCGATGCTTAATAATAAAGCTAAAAAGACAAAAAGAAACGTGTTAGCAGAAGTAAGTGCAGCAGCAGACAGGTAGACTGCGAGCTCAACGAGATTGGGGAAAAGAAAAACCTTAACAAACCTGTTACGAAATGTACAGGTGCGGTAAGATGGCTTCCCCGCAAAGCAGTTTTAGGGTTGCTATAAAATGGCAAGGGAAGGCAGGGTTGCCACATTTGGCAACAAAATCGACGATATGTCATGGACGGTTGGAGAACCTTCTGGAACGAATTCGTACCGGTTTAGCCCATAATGTTCTCGAACACAAGCCGAAAGCTATATAAACCCTGCTGGTCCGCAGTCAGTGAGAGTGTGCCTCATCCAGTTAGTCCGCTCGGAGCCGATTGAGTTGACAGCGAGTGCCGAGTGGGTCGTCGAGTGTACCGAAAGGTTCTCGTATGAACTCTCGTCGAAAGAGCGTGTTGAGCTCCGGGAACGACTGAACCGAAGAGTCGGGAGCTGTGCTCTGTGTGTCGTCGAGTGCATCGCGAATTGTAGGGTGGAGAGTCTCGAGAGTACGCAGAGTTCCGAGAACGACCAAGCAGAGTCGGGAGCTGTACTCTAGTGCTTTGCCGTGAAGCTGCCTCCACTGTGATAGCCTGATAACCTGGAGGCTGTGTCGCTGACCGTGTCAGCGTGTTTATAGTAGGTCATCGACGACTGTAAAAACGTGTTTTGGAGCTGTCCTGACAATACTGGCCAATAAAGTGCGTTTCGATATTTCATCAAGTGGTATTGTCATTTTTCAGTCCAAATCCTCACGAGCCCCGTACGAACGTGAAGGAAGAAAATAACGCAACAACTGGTGTGAGAAAAGAAAAGAAAAACGCAACAAACCGTTTTAGACAATCATTAAAATCTGAACCCTTTCATATTAAAAAAAAAAAAAAATGTTTAAACGATTTTTCACAATAACGTTTGTTTAAAGCACGAACTAAAAAAATCTCAGAAATTTATTATTTGCACCACCGTATAGAGAGGAGAGGAATCTTTTAAATGATTACTAAATTTTGAAGTTAATTTCTGATTTTATGGCCAAGTTTCTAAAATCGCCACTTTTTTCCCGACTACGTAATTTCTGCTTTAAAGTTTTGAAATTTTCACAAATCATAAAACAAGATCTTCGCCCTCAGTTCAGTTCCTAAATTCATTAACCTGCAATTATTCTTCCTGAAACCCCATGGTTGCTTTTAAAAGATGCGACTAAGAGACTTTAAAAAAGTCTAAAGAATATTTTATTGTAGGAATTATTGCTTTACTGTGAGAATCGCAGCAGGAACTGTTTGGTGGATTACGCAGACAGACTGACGAATATTTTATTGTAAGAATTGCGGACAGAAGTGATGCTCATCCTGCACGCACACTTGACACAACTTCTGCGGGATTTTCAATAACTTTTATGGTTCGATGCTAGCTAATTTTCATGGTCGACGGGATAATACATAAGTACCCATTTTTTGAATGACTAAAAATGAAAAACAGGAATACTTTTGGGGAGATCACATGGGTCAATTATCCTTTCCTTATATTTCTTCCTGATATATCATGGTTGGCAAAACACATAACAGCGGATATTACACAAGGTACCATGTGATACCTCATAGCGTTTCAAAGAAAATTATTGTGATTTTTTGTTATTAATTCATCTTCGGTTTTTCATCAACCACAGCAAAAACATCATCATTTAAATGAATGTCTCCAGATTTAAAAACAATGCAAAGTGTTCCAAGACAAGGCCGAGGCCCTGTTTTCTCCCGCATTCCCTTATCCTTCGGAATCCTATACCTAGAGGGAAAAAAAATGCATTAAAAATATATTTTTTTCCACATATGTTTAAATTAAATTATAAAAGTTTCATAACGTACTTTCCTAAGGTGATCAAAGGTTCTTTACTGGTTAACACTCCAACATCAGGTTTGACTGTGGTTTGAAGGCACCTGGAAAGTTCATAATGCATTGAAGATTGTTACACAGATTATGTTTGCATAAAATATCTATTAAAAGTAAAAGCTGAGTATCATTTTGAAACTTATTACAAACGACTCCGTGAAAAGTTGTTGCAAGCTTCATTTATATTTACATACATACATATGTGGTCATAAAACTCTACCCCTATATATAAACTCCTAGCGGTCTATTCACTCAGCCAATCAAAATGAAAGTTCAGATATTGTTATTTGAAGGTATGCCCTCGAGATCTTTATGATTTTAAATAGTAAAGTTCTCGTGGTGACGGTTACAGTGGAAACATTTCAAAATTTTTGAATAGCAAGATACACTTTTTGTCTGCGCAAATTGATCAGTGCATTGAAAAACCATAAATGTCATTGGAACGATACACGTATGACGAAAGTTGCCGCCGTAAAATATTTACCAGGAAGAGCATTGTAAAGGACCAATGGCAACGAAAGAGAGGAGAGGAAGGAAAAAAAATTATTGGAATTACAGGGTTTTTAACGTGCCCGCCTTCGCAGACGGTAACGCATTGCTTGCAGCAGATTGTTGACAACAATGACGAATGTAACATCACAGCAGTAATCGGCATAACTTCACATTGTATGGCCAGTAGCGTAGCTGGGGGGGCAAAGGGGGGGAGACATCTGTCCCGGGGCGCAGCATCCAGGCGGCGCCAAATTGATGCTACGAAATTTTTTAATGAAATGTTTTCCATTCTCGGCACACAGAAACGGGCGCAAATTCAATTGTCCCAGGGCGCTGGAATCCTAGCTACGCTACTGTTTATGCCATCTTGCCATTCTGGCAAATATGGTGGATTTGACGTGTATACCTTAGATTTCAGATAACCCCAGAAGTAGAAATCCATTGGAGTGAGGTCGGGGGTTGGCGGTGGCTATGAAGCTTCAAATTATAGGAGATGACTATCTCCGAAATGCTGTTTCAGCACTTGCCAAGGACGTGTGATGACGTGTGGAGGAACACCATCTTGCATTCATGCAATGTCATTAACGACATTTCGTTGGCGCAGTTCTGAAGTTATGCTCATCAATGCTGTCAACAATCTCCCGCATGCAATGCATTATCATCAGGTAAGGTGGGCAGGGCCGTTCCTAGCAAGCAGAGCCGTAGCCTAGGGCTTCCAGCGCCCGGGGACAATAGAAGATTTCGCTCACCCCTCCTATTTGCCAAAAATGGAAAACATTTCATTCTAAAATTTCTTAATGTCAGTTTGGCGCCCCCTGGATGCTGCGCCCGGGGACAGATGTTTCCCCTTGTTTCCCCTAGCTACGCCCCTGCTAGCAGGGGTGCAGAGCGTAAAAGTACGCAGGCGGACAAAATCAGGGGCGGCCGGACTCTCGGGGCGATACCGAGATTAAATATTTTAATTTTTTTGCAACTACTTATCATGTGTAAGTACTTTGTATACAGTTTGTCATATGCAAGTACTTAGTGAGTATGAAACCGAAATTTTATTAATCATTGAGCATTTTTTTTATTTGGTGGGGGGGGCAAGTCTTAGGAAAGTACGTGGGCAGTCAGTGGCCTAGGAACGGTCCTGCACGTTGAAAACTTGTAATTCCAATAAAAAAAATTTCCCTCTCCTGTGTTATCATTGATCCTTTACAATGCTTTTCTTTGCGAATGTTTTACGCCAACAATTTTCGCCAAAAATAGTGGATATTGTCATTTGAACATTTTGAAATATTTTTATTTTAACCGCAAAAGCTCTTTCTACTAAATCGTCACCATCTCGAGTGAATATTTTCAAATAACAATATCTGAAATTTCATTTCGATTGGTTGAGCGGATAGGACGTTAGAAATTCATATATTGGGGCAGTTTTTCAAGATCGCCCTGTATATTATTTCTGTGTTATTGCAAAATTTACGTATGAAATTTGTGTGTGTGTATGAAACTCATTTTCACAAAATTAATGAAAAGGAATTTATGAAATTCATGTTCACAATTTTCATCTGCATGAAATTTGTATGTAAAAGATGCGTGTGGAATTTCTGTTGTTGTGAAAAATTCGTGTGTTTTACCTTGTTACTTCCTTGTAGGAAGTATTGTAATCGTGAAAATTTTTTGGATATCATATTTCAATGAAAATATCCATTTTCATCGCTATCGAATGCAATTTAACGATGTTTTTAAGAGGCATCTGTATGTAAGGACAGAATAAAGGACTCTTTTACTCAAAACGGGTTGCAAAAAGGATTTGAAGTATTCAGTAGAGAGTTTTTTGTGATGTCTGTACGTATCTCACATAACTCAAAAACGAGTAGCCTCAGAACGTTGGAATTTTCTATATAGAGCTGCTATACCATGTAGTTACGCACCTTCCTTTTGGTTGCAATCTCCCACACCAAAAGAATATAAATACAAATAATGTTTGTATAGATACATATACTCACTCTGTTACTCGGCTCTGTGAGCTCAATTTTTTGTATTGTAATATGTTGGTAAATTGTGCATTTTTTGCTTTAAAAATGATTGAATTGTATTGTTCTGATCTTCCAGTTAAGATTTTTATTCCTTTAGTTACTCTGCATGCAATAGTTGTAGAATTATCAACAAGTTAAAAATTGTTTACGTGCGGTTAAGCCTATTTTTTTTAACCATAGCAGCTATATTTGTTTACATTTGAAACTTAGCAGAATAGTAAATTCAGTTTGCACAGCTTCAGTGGCTTTCTGGTGAGTGGGACCATTAAGTAAAATTTCAGTTTTGTGCACCGAAAAATCTGCCTTCTTGCCCGCCGACCGAATTGCTTGTTTTGTATAGAAACTCCAATTTTAATTTAAAAATTTTTTATTTTAATTGTTTTAACTGTATTCGGTATTTTATATTTTTCTATATTATTCAATTTGCAATAAAGATATTTTGAGGTTTTATGTATTTTCCCTTATTGCTAAGTGAGAACTGAATTCATTGAATGAAAAATACATCTCTAATTTAATTCAAGGAAATAAGTTTAAATGAAATACAGGAAAATGGGTATAATTTAAAATTCCGTGCAAAGAAATCATGTGGTGTACACATCAGATTTCCGAATTTAATTGAAGTTTTGAACGTAATTATATAATTGCATTATCATGCTTTTATAGATTAAATTTTTATTACTATTTGCAGCTTGCTTAAAATTATGAAAAATTGAAGGTACTGAATTTGAAATTTGGAAATTATTCGGAGTGCACGCTAAAAATAAGACAAAAAATTAAATTAAAATATATACAGAAATTAACGTTAAAATTCAAACACAATAAAACTAAAAAACAAAAACTAATAATAATGCAAACATCATCATTAGAAAACACACTAACACACACATTAATACACACAACATTAATATTAACACTAATAGTCATCTTGTAGAGTCATTAGGTTAATTGGAAGCCAGAGAGATGAAAAATATGCAACCGCCTCGCCGGGAATCGAACCACGGACCTTTGAATACCGGCCCAGCGTGCTACCGTTACACCACGAAGGCACGCTAGCTAACTGGGAGAAATACCTTATATACTCCCTTTTTAAAGGGCGACTAGGGTTTTAGGAGACCTAGTCGCCAAATCCTGGGTGCGGAGAATCATCATCCACAACCCTTTTAGTTCGGGCGCCACTTGTAGAGACATTATTTTTTTTAAGGCAGGAGTGATGAAAAATTAGCAACCGCCTTCGCCGGGAATCGAACCACGGACCTCTGGAATACCGGCCCAGCGTGCTACCGTTACACCACGAAGGCACGCTAGGGAATGGGAGAAATACCTTATAATCTAAATTTTAGAATATCATATAATGTTAAAAATAATACATATACACACTAACATTAACACATTCTAATGATAATATTAACTCACATACTCATTAACATTAACCCTAACCCTGGTATTCACACATACTAACACATGAACATTAATATATGCATCAGCACTAAATTATGCAGACTAACATTACCACAAACTAATACCAGTGCAAAAGGTAACATTAACAGACGTACTAATCAACATTAATATAAGTGTACACGAGCAGCTAATATTAAGAATAATGCCTATAGCACACAAAGTAACACTGACACACATTTATAGTAACAGAAAACATACTGAATAATATTAATACTGGCAGAATATCCTAATTCCACTCATTAATTTTATCACAGTGTAGGTAATAAGACATGCAACAATACAAATGTACAAAATGGAAAAAGAAAAAAAAAAAGGCAGATGAGAGTTCTGTGTCTCCCGTTTTACTGGGCGAATTGGCGAATTTAATTTGCATTTGCCATGTCTAAGCGCGATTTAGGATATATATTAATTAGATTTACATATAGCATTGTTCCAGCATAGGTATTTTGACAAAAAATCGGACTTTTTCTGAAATGATATACCTTTTTTTTTTTTCTTCATATTTCGATTCTTCGACTCACATTAGCCTACATATTAAATTTTGTAAAATTTGGCGAGAAACTTATCAAGAAATTTGGCGAAAAAAATTAGACGCCAAAACCATCGCCAGCTTAAAATATCTCGTTAAATTGGCGAGATAGCTATTTACCCAATGTTAAATAGATTTGCCCCTGTATTCTTATTTTTCCCGCGGAGCCTCATCTCTTTCAAGAAGTTCATATTACATTATACAAAATATATTACAGTTTCACATATAACTTTTATTTAAATTCAATTCATTCTTATTGGATTTTATATATAAGTATTAAGCAGTTGCACGGAAACTGTAGCATTATACTATGTATACATTTTCGAACAAATGTCTTATGATTCACAATTATTAGCCCAAACGGCTTTAACACAGAGGGGCTATTAATTTCATTTTCGCATTTTGCATCGAAAACTTTAAATGTCCGTTTCACTTTTTAGATTGTTGCCACCAAATATTATTACCCTGTGTTATATTTAAAGAAATTAAATTCTAACTGCAGTGTATGTATGTTTCTGGCATTGTGATAAAACAACGGTACCTAGAGCCATCAAATTTTGAATAACGTAATCCTCCACCGAATATGGGCATGTGGAAGCCCTAATTTGGAATTTGTTTTATTATCGATTTCATATTTTTTAACTCTTTAACGAATTTTTGATTAACAAACCCAGCGATTTAGCGAGCAATGGCAAAAGTGCACCGGGGGGGGGAATTACCTCCATCGCGCGAGACTGTGTATCAGAAATTCTAAAGATATGCTCATTTTAAAATTATTTTGCGATATTGCTCTTGAACTGAATTTTATGGTTTAAGTGCGAACATGATATTTAAAAAATAAAGGTTACACACAAAACGTTAAATAAACGCCCCTTTGGGCGCAATATAAAATCTGAAAGCTTTCAGAATTTAAAAAAAAATTTTTTTTTCAATTATTATCTTTACATAAATATTAAATTAACTGCTGGAACGCCTCTTATTTCAATTTTTGTGATGAAAGATAAAAACTGCTGGTTTGATAATGTATCATTACTCACATAAGATACAAATTCATGCATCTGAAAAATATAAGGAATTGATTACCTGGGATTAAGTGAGCAGTTCAGCATTTCTATTCCTCTTTCAAACTTCATGTATTTCCAAGAATCCTTTGAAAATTTTTAAAAACATTATTAACAGAATTAAAAAAAAAATTCAAAAATATTATTAACATGATCAGGTTGAATCAACAAAAATGTAATAAATAATATCAAACAAAAGACAACCGTATTGGGAATACTAAGACAACATGTAACAGCCGTGATTTTTATAAATTTGTAGAATTAGTTTCGAAGGTTTGAATATAGAACCTTCTTCTTCAAAAGAGAAAATGACGAAAGAGTAGCCTGTGATCACGCGATTATAAGGATAACAATAGACCAGACAACTTTGACCAGAAAATATTTAGCAAAGTTCTGTTTTATCTTCTCCTTAAATTTTAAGAAGTATAATATTTACGAAACTTTTCTATCTTTCTTTAATTAGAATTTTTATTGTCAAAATTTTTCATTTCATAGCAGTTTTTAAAATTGAGCGTAGAATATTTCACATATATTTTCTAACTGCATGAATTTGTTTCTAATTTTAACTGTATGAATTGTGTTTCTGATTATCCGCATCTCCACACTGAAAAATCGCAAATTCGTTGGCGACTTCGGAAAGCATTCAGCCATTTTCAAAATGGCGGCGCACTAGGAATTCCAGAAACGAGCATCAATGAATAAAATTTAAAAAAGCAAAGAGCATCGTTAATAAAACACTTCAATTTTTCGAGAAATCCTTTCGCAAGTTTTTGAACTGTTGTTCTCCTCATGTAAGCAATGATATTTTTTCTCCTCATGTAAGCAATGATATTCGGCTTAAAAAATATCAGAGAATTGCACAAATTCGACATTCGTAAAATATTGGCATGCCACACAGAACAGACATGTGCTATGCACACAGTACCTGGGTTGCTATATAAATAATTTTTGGCGACATTGTGCATTGCCACATCACTCTTTTGGCGACATCCTGCTTTGTCTCATAGATACATTTTCGCAAATTTTCGTTTGGGGGTGCGGATAATTTGAATGTAAAGTTTTTGTTTACCTATTTAAAAAAATCTGATGTGGACACCATACTGACTTCCTCGTACGGCCTCTTAAATTATTCACACTTTTTGCTGCATTTCATTTAAACTTATTTCCCCGAATTTCATTTAGCGATATATTTCTCATTCAATCAATTCAATTTTCGCATTAAAAATATTCATGATCCGTTCGCACTAACAACATTCGTGATCCTTCTACAGAACAGTTAATTGCTGATTTTCATGCCAATTAGATAATAAACCCACACACAGACATTATCTCAGTAATGCCATTGGAAGGCTGTAGCTACATCAAGAAGATGACGAACAAGAGCCCAGGATAGAACAAAATGAATTACCGTATGATTAAGCACTTCCCGACCAAAGTCATCCTGCTCCTCACGAAAATAGTAAATCCTATTCTCAAGTGACAACACCTCCCGGAGAGTTGGGAAGACTGCGAAAATTACTCCCATCCTCAAGCCTTACCAAGCCTGCAAGTGCTCCAGAATCTTATCGCCCAATCAGCTTGCTTCCATCTCTGAGCAAAACAGTTGAAGCTGCGATACTATCAAGAATGAATCAATACATCGGGAACAACAACCTACTTACTCTATATCAGTTCCAGTTCAAGACTCAACCATCGACTACTCACCAGCTCTACAGGGTTGTGGAAATGATTAGCAAAGGACTTCAGCACAAGAAGGTCCTGATGGCTTATTTCTAGACATAGTAAAGGCTTTCGACAGTGTATGTCTAAATGCCCTCATTTACAAGTTACACCGTTTGGATTTCCCAGAGTACATCACTGGCATAATTAAATCCTACCTTCCCGGTAGACACATTGTCGTTCACGTTACAGGCACACTCTCTACTCACAGGGCCATCCAGGCTAGGGTTCCACCAGGGGTCCCTTCTTGGTCCCACATTCTTTAATATATACGTGAATGACATCCCCACTATACCCAACACAACACTCGCAATGTATGCTGACGACACAGTGATCCTCACACAAAATACATTTGTTAGTCCAGTTATACAACGATTACAAGATTACATACACACATTTGAGGCTTGGCTCATAAGTGGAAAATTAAGGTGAACGTTGAAAGAACACAAGCTATTCTGTTCACTAAGAAGAACAAGTTCAGAAAGAAACTTCAACTTTACGGAGTATCAATCCCCTGGGTCAAGCAAGTCTTTTATTTCGGGGGATCCTCAGTAAAACTCTCATGACCCCCACACATCACATCTATTATCAGAAAGTTTCCAATGAGTAAACATACACTATTCCCCTTAATAGCTTGAAATAGCATTCTTTTTATAGACAACAAGTTACTTATTTATAAGTCCATGCTACGTCCTATTTTATGTTATGCCTGCCCGGTATGGGCCTATTCGTATCAATCTCTTCGAAAAAAAGTTTAAAGCTGTCCAAAACGGTGTTTTGAGGCAAATCTCTGACGCTCCGTGGTATGTGAGAAACCCCAAGTTACACCAAGAACTACGTATCGAGCTATTAAAAAAGAACTTTTTATTGCCATATTGCTCGAAAGTTCTATAGTGACCAAAAATTAATAAGGAATCCTGCCATTCGAGTGCATGATTACAATGCTAATGATAACTGGTAATGGATATTTTTTCCCATATAGCACATATAGCACAAATAGCACTTGCTTATTTGTTTGTTTATGTTTACTGTTATTTAATAGGTGTTAACACCAGCTCGATTGGTACCTAGCTTCCCAAGTTGGCATTTCTCGAATCTTTGTACACTCTAACTATTCTAATTCATAATCTAAATAACTGATAATTACCTCGACTTATTAAAAAACTTATATGTACATACGTTGTCTATTTCCTATTGTCTATCCATATCTTGTTATAGTAATTCGAAACAACGTATTTATTCGATTAGGGGTAGGGTCCTTATACCCACGCACCCTGGTGTTAAACTACTCCCTCGCGTGCAATTCAGTTTTCACTTCGCGGCAAGGAAAAATACATAAAAATTCAAAACATCTTCATTAAAAATTGTAAAATACAGAAAAAACTAAATCACCAAATAGAGTTAAAAACAATTTTTACAATTAAAAATTACACTTTAAACTAATTAAAATTAGGCAGAAAGCTCCCGACTCTGCTCGGTCGTTCTCGGAATTCCACGTACTCTAGAGACTCTCCACGCTACAACTCGCGATGCACTCGACGACACACTAGCACAGCTCCCGACTCTTCGGTTCAGTCGTTCCTAGAGCTCAACACGCTCTCTCGACGATGCACTAACTGCGGTACACTAACAGACTCCTTCGGTGCACTCGACGACACACTCGGCACTCGCTGCCCGGCTGTCGACTCGATCGACTCCGCACTGACTGACTCGCTAGACGAGACACACACACACTCGATGAGAGACACACACTGATTGCGGACCAGCAGGGTTTATATAGCTTATCGAAAATTCAATTTAGGATATATATATTAGATTTATATATAGCTCTGTTTTGACATAAGAATTCTGGCACAAAATCGGACTTTTTCTAAAATGATCTATCAATTTTTTCTCCATATTTCGATTCTATTGATTCAAATTATGCCAAACTGCCAAGTTTTATTAAAATTCCACGAGTAGTTTTTAAAAAATTAGCTCTCAAAATATTAGCTTCTAATTGTTGACTGAATTTGGTATATTTATATTAATATATTTATATTTATTATTATATCTTTTTTTTATTAAACTTACTTAAACCTTTTTTTTTTTTACAGTTCGAAATTTAGGCTTAATTCAAATAAAATTGCCGGATATACTCTGATTTATTTTTTAAATTTCTATTGTTTAGTAATTTTTTGTAAAAATTTTGAATTATAACCTATAAAAATTTTTCTGTCACATTAAAGCAGACAGTGGTATTGCTAGGCAAACCTGCAAAAAATTACAGTATTTTTATTTAAAATTTCCCAAGATATGAGTGAATTTACATATTAGCGCGTTTTGAAATTTGGCATATTTGTTATAAGCGATAATGACGCGAAATGTGGTTAACGCACTTTGTTAAAACTATTCGAAAAAATGAACGATGCGCCTTTTTTCCACTCGTGCACAATGAAAGGGAAAGGTGAAAATAGGTTACCGTAAATTAAGAATTTCGCGAAGTCAATTATTCTCGGCGCAAACTGAAAGAAATGCAAAGATAAATTTTTAAATTTCTCTCCAAATTTTACCAAATTTAATATTTAGCCATAATTGGAGAATATGGAAAAAATCGGTATGTCAATTTAGAAAAAGTCCGATTTTATACCAAAAGACTTAACGTCAGAACAGTCTTATATATAAATCTAATATATATCCTAAATCGAGCTTTTAAGACGTAAAAAACACAAATTAAATTTTGTCAATTGGCCGAGGAGATATAGAACTGCCCCCTCTTTTTTTTTTTTTTTTTCAGAATGTACATAATAGTAAACTCCTGACATCTCTCAGACTTTCAAAGCAGCTACAGAGATGAGTATTACAAGATCCACATTATTTTTAACGGATTGTTGTACATTAGTCATTTGATGTAAGCCGTGAAAAAATAATCAACAGCCTTGCAAGCAAATGACCTTTATGTCGGATCTGCTGATGCCTATATGCCATGTTTAATTGGTTAAGAACATACCAAGATGCCGTTTCCGACGACGCATTGCTATGTGATTCCAATTTGCTTTAGAGTAACCTACTCTTTTTGGAAATTTTGCATGCTTAACTGGATCACACAGCAGATCGAACGATGTAGAGTTTATCCAAATAATTACAGGAGGATAATCCTTTCTGCAGAGTTTACTAATCTTAGTGCAGGATTTGATAATACCTAATAAACTTACTTCGTCAAAAGCACCACATTCTTCGACTAAAATGTTGGGCCTGAAATTGATAACTGAGACTTTATTATCCTCGTCTAATCTGGAATTCAGGTCATCGATAGAGGCTTGAGATACCAAATGAATCGCACTCTTAGCTTGTAATCCAATCTAAAATTGAAAATAAGTCTTAGATGTAATTCATTTATAATATGGGTAAGTAAGTCTCTACTTTTCAAATATTACGAATAATGTCATTAGAAGAATTCTTACAGGATTATTTTTGGTCAATTGAGCTCGGAAAGAATTTTTCCCCACATATTTTTTTGGAGGCAGGGACAGAAAATAACGGACTAGACGAACATCAGGAATCTCCAGGTATTCTTGAAACCATGCCGCTGCTTCATCTCCGCAGTCTACCCCTTTAACAGAATCTGAACTCATTCTGAAATACAATAATACTAAATAGTAATCTTAAATTAATGTTTTTTCTCCTGAAAATTATCATAAATTTCAGTAGTGTGTGTTTATTTATCTCCTTTAATTAATACATGCAAAAATTGTTTTTAAAGTTCAATCGATTTTCTATAAATACTATATAAAGCTGCGTAATTTTCTTTCTTTCAATTTCATTTCTTTAACACTGTTTAACATAGCCAATTTTAATTTCACAGCATTTTATTGAACAATAATGCTTCCGTTCTTCATAAAGATTTCAGATGCTTTCAGATTCCCGAATGCTAGGGGAACAAGCAATTGCTGTCGTCGAAGGAGCTCAAAGGGTAAATTTCCAGCCGCTTCACACCGTGACCCCAAAAGTTGCTTGTGGCGTGGTGTTGGGTTAGCTTAAAGCTAGTATCACATCTACGGACGAAAAACGCAATAAGAAACTTTTAATAGAAATGCATTTTGCCATAACTAGTTCAAATGGCTTCTAGCTGCAGTATTTTACAACGATGGTAAAAAAGTTCCGTTTCTATACTCCTATCTTTTACCGTATTTTATCCCATATTTTGCATGAGTCAACCGTTCTAAAGGAAAAAAAGGATCACGGACCCCAAACTTACAAAAAAGCCCTAAATTTTCTTGCAAAAGTTTCATTCAATGAGGTGTGGAGGAGAAGCAGTTGAAAAGCATAGAAGTCATCAGAAACAAGGTAGAGGAGAATTGGAAATGCTTTTTTACCACGAATGATAAAGGACTTCTATATAATGTATGGCTGGAACTAGCGACTGAAGACTGGTTGTCAGAATTCCATGGTGTATTATAGTTAGAATGATGTTTGAGCAATTCTTGTTTAAATCAGAAGACCCTATTGATTCCTGTTGGGAGTTCCCATAATCTGACTTGTTTGTGGTTCTTCTGATCTGATAATGTATGATTTCTGACTTTTCCTCAAAATAAAGAATAAGAGGCTACAAAGACAGAGATGAGTTCAGAAAATGAGGATTCAGAGTCTTCCTGACACGTACACAAAATTCTGAACAAAACAATGAACGCAACTCCAAAGTGAGTGAGTGTTAGAGAGAAAGAGAGAATTTAGTCTCTAGTGATTTTCTTAGCTCTCCCAACAGCATTTTCTGTTCGCACTATCACCCCGGGGGGGTCAACTGGGACTGGCAATCTCAGTGTACCAGCTAGATCAATATCTAGACGGCCTTGACTCTGGTAGATAAACTGTCTTCATAGTGACTACAACCATCGTTTATTTGGTGGTAGGTTCAGGCTCGGCAGGGACCGCACTGGTGCTATCTTATCTTCCCTTTGGTTGTGGTGGCGTTACATGATCAGATATCGAAGATTGTCCTTGGGGGATGGGCTCTCCTTTGTCAACACTGGGGAATGGTCGATGTCTAACTGTGACTTTTTTTCTCTTTGTGGTGGAAGCGTCGCCGTCCTCCTACGCTTGTGTGCTTATGACCCGTTATGTGAAGCATTTAAGTTACCTTGAGTTGACCGAAGGGGGTGGCATCTTCTCGGATGGCTTCCAGGGGTTGACGCTTTTTAACCGTGTTAAGGCTAAATTGAGCAAGCCAGGACTGGGAGCCTCTTCCTTCTGGTGCACTGCTCGCTCTATCAAGAGCATTTTTATCTCTCTTCAGAAAGACTCGGTAGCCAGCTATCTGCTACCTAATCAAGAGAGACTTCCAAGTGCGCCAAAAGGAATTTTAAAGACTGCTTGCTTCACTCGTGAAATTTCCTTTAACAAAAAAACTGTTCATGAACTTTCTCCTAAAATTAACAAATTTTGAACAACGTTAAATATACTGAATATTCTTTCTCGTAATATTTTGTTCATACTTAGCCAAGAATTTTAAATAAAATAAAAACGCGAACACTACCTGGTTTATTTCACTCAAATAACTCTTGTTAGAGTTATAAATTGCAGGTAATTAACAGCAATTGTTTTTAACCAGTCTTACATATGTAGGTTCTTTCCGATTATCCGAAACTTCCTGGAAAGCATTTGCGAAAAAATGCGTTGTCGCTAAAATTGGCAAATCATGACACCGCATTTATGTGGCAATCTAGAGATGCACGAGCATGCGCAGCAGACGAGCAAGGATTTCCACTATCAAATTCGACAGACATTTTTCAGTCATTTTTCTTGCAATGAGTACATTTCTTCTTTTAGAGAAATCGAAATGGGATTGTGAAGTCTGCCAGCTGATGAAAAAGAAAGCGTTGCATCCCCCCCCCCAGAAATATGGCTTTTAGTACATAAGTAGAGAAAGCCAAAATTCCCATTCTGTGAAGTAGTCCCTTTAAACAGTCGAATTTTATGAAATGAAATGCGAAAAAAACGAAATCAAAGTGTTGGAATGCGGGTTATCGTATTTGTACAATTTCTTCAATTTTTATCAGCGACTGACTGCTGTGTTCAAGTCTGTTTAATTGTCTAACATTTTTGGCTTTTTTTAAGCGAAACAAAATCGCTGTGCACAATGGGAAAAAAGCGCAAAAATTTACATAAGGATATTTTGTAAAAGTGTGTAATTAAGCATTTTCTTGCTTTTTTAATTTTATTGATTCATTGCTCTCGTATGGAATTCTTAGCGCGACATCAAAATGGTGCTTGCCTTTTGCCTATAGCTTGGCAAAAAATTAGGGGCCAACGAAAAAGATGGAGATGCGAATAGTCAGAAAGTACCCAAACAGACTTATTTCCTGAAGAAATGCATCGAGACAAAAGATCATTATATTGAAAAGAGCTGAAGAGCTAAATTTTCAAGAAAGAGACAAAATCAGAATCAATACTTCGATTACATCTGTGAAATTAAATGGGCTTTGATCTTCCATGCATATTTAGGTATCATAATTCAGTTTTTTTTTTTTTTTTTTTTTTTTTTTTTTTTTTTTTTTCACATTCTCAGAACTGGCTATGTGTTAGATTGCAAGGATTATAGAATACAGGTATTTTACGTTTGTCCTGATGGCAGAATTTGTCATGTCCAGTGGCGTAGCTAGAAGAAGGTGGAGGGGGCGGCCCATTTTTTTAGGTCTGGCGATTTTTGAGTGAAGTAATATTTTATAGAGGTCAGACAGGTTGATCTTTGAGGCAGATGAAGAATAACGAGATTCTGAATTGCCATATGGTACTAAACTGATAAGAAAAATAGTTTTTACTTTAGATAACGCACTCAAAGAAATGACAAGATGATTTCAGCAGCTGCATACTTCTGTTATCTCTTTCTCATTCCGTCGAAACTTTTGAATGCAAATTACGAATATCAATTAAATTATTATCACGGTGACAAGAATAGTTTAAAAGTAAGTATTTGGGAGTTTTATTTCCGCTACTACTCCAGAAATCGAAACAATAACGTGGAAGGGCAGTCCTTTCCAATTTTTGAAGTTTCTTCTAAAATATAATCCCCAGAATTAAAGCTTCAAATATTGTAAGACCAGTGCGAACTTTCCTCTCAGTTGCTAGTTGTGAGAGTGTCGTTAGTTGTGAGAAAAAATTTCTAAATAAAAATAATTTAAGAACTAATACAAATATATATATTGCATTTAAGAAATTCTTTATTGTCTACATAACAGAAACTGAAGCAAATCAAATAGACCCCTACAAATTAACTGATGGCTTTGTCAACAACAACAAAAGTAATAATAATAATAATTTTAAAATGCTGGAAATAAAGTCCTTCCCCCCCAAAAAAAAATAAACGTAAAGTTTAAATTTATTTCTCTGCATGTTGTTTTAACACTTTTTTGCAGTTACTTCCTTGTATATCAATAAGAGGTAGCTAAAGTTCTAGCTATGTCACTACATCCATGCACCTGGCGCCAAAGTAACTGAGTAACAGACTGGATATTGCGTTCTGAAAAATGATGAAATTAAACTTTACTGGATTAAAAGGCTTAGTTTGCTAAGTTTAAAGTTTTCAAATGGTACTAATCGCACTGCATGTTATTGAGCAAAAGAACACAAATGCACTCAATCACTTCTTACATTTACCACTTATGAAAATTCCTACTTATGCCGTATTCTGGATCATAATTGAATTATCTCGGAGCTGATTTTACAAACCAACTTTTAAACAACACTGTGAGACAGTCCAATGTTGCCAAATACCAGATATTCATAACATCTGGACTCTCCAGGCTTCAATAAAATACGTTTATCCAAGATTTATTACATATTTCAGCATCCTAACCATTTATCTTGTCCTTTTTAATGCTTCGAACAGTATCAATGTGGGTATTTTATATGACATTATCATGAAAGAACTCTCTTTAATGGCCTTTACAGGGCAAGAACCCAAGTATCAGGAAGAAACTGCAGAACATTTTCTTGCATGTTGTCGTCTACTAAACGAATGCAGGGCAAGATTGCCACAATGCATGTACAACTGCATCTTTAATACTACCTTTTTGGATATTCTGAGGGATGTGCGTAGTTCTTTGCACAGAACTGTGTCTAGTAACATTATTCATTGTCCTATCTACATAGTTGGGGTTTGTGCTCGATGTACGGGATGATGCATACCACTCTTTCCACAATTACATTTAAACAGACTGTGCTGGTGTCAACTAGGATGCTATTAGAAAACATGGGGACAGCTATCTTCAGCTACAAATTCCACTTCTGTCTTGGTACAGATGATGGACGAGCACACATATGGCGACACCTAAATGAAAAGCTTCAAGAAGCAAATCTGGCTCCATACACAGCCTTCTCCTCATGTTATGATGTGGGCTGCCTCATTTTATGACTCAAGGATTGATTCAGTATTTACAATGTGCAATATAAGCAAATGCGCAACAATAAGCAAATGGGTTACTAAGTCAATCGCAATCTTCTTCGTAGACGCTATTCAAGTTGGAATATTCCGGTAGCATAATACATCTGAGTAAGTGATTGAGAATGCTCTACAGATTGTGAATATCTTGCCTTGGGCATTCAGATCATCGCATCTGTATTTAATTCAACACGTGTGAGTGATTATATGAGAAAACACATCAAAAGACCATTGTGCTGTAATGGATGAAATATGATTACTCTTAACGTGTTTAAGAAGCCTGGTGAGCTGTACCGCTATTTGCACTACATGACAGCATGTCACTTCGTATAACAAGTGTCGTGACATGCATGGAAATTACATTACCACCACGTGTACCATATAATGAGTTCTATGCATTGCAGAGCCCACCAGCGGCCGAGCGGTAACGTCGCTGAACACTGGTAGTTCGGTCCGAGGTTCGAATCCCGCGAACGGGCTGGCTGCATGGGTGTTTTCGTGGTTTTCCCCATGTGTAACGTGTATACGAGCCAATTTCCGTTAAAAAGTCCTCCACGAAGGCATCCCTCCCTTAAGGGGCAGATAGCCCTCGAGTGCTTTGCCGTAATCTAATAAACCAAACCAAATCTATGCATTTCAGGGGCAAACAATGAAATCAGCTAGTGACATGTGCATTTCTATGCAAAGATTCAATTTGTATAACGTTTTCTGAAGACGCATTACTTTGGACAATGTGTGCATTTTTACACTTAGAAAATGTTCTTAGATTAAATGCTACCACTAATTATTTCTAAACAACCAGAAAATTATTAGATAGTACTGACAGTACATCTGAAGCTTCAAGCTATGGCTTTAATTTGTTGTAAATGCAAAAGCATACTTACCGACATTCAATAATTTTATCTTCTGGAGCCGGAGAGTCTTTTATTTCAATTTTTAAATCATCACCGGAAGGTTTTGAGACAATCAGGTACTTTCCAAGGATCTGAGGTGGACGCAGCAAAGCAATACGAGGAGCTTTTGCATTAGAAAGAAAACTTCCATCACCTGCTATTAACATGAAAGACCTACCACGGGATAAAATAAAAGATAATTATTTCAAAGATTAATCCTAAGTTTATATCTAAATTGTATTTCAAATTGAATTTATAAAGTTAAAACCTAACTGCTTCTTAACTACCCACTTGATTAACGTTCCTGTGCTCCAGACGTCGTGACGACTTCGTTATAGTCGTCATGACGAATTAAGTTCCAAGAAATTTAAATAAAAGGTTGTAATGCTATGAGGTAATTACTTAAAGCGACGGCGGATGCTGTAAGAGACTTTGGCTTGCCAGCCTTAAAGCATGGAGTCAGTCAGTCAGTCAGTTCAGAGATTTAGCGAGTCATGCTTTGCTATAAAAATTTCGCTCGATGAGTCGTTGCTCTAGACCAGAGATTCCTTATCTTTTCTTGCATCGACTCTTTTTAAAAGAATGGTTTTTTCATTGACCCCCTTACATTTCTTTCCATAATACACAGCATAAACATAACCATAATACAAGTAACTGCATGTAAAATAGCTTAAGGGTAACTATTACACTAATAGTAATATGAACAGAAGTTAGGGGGAATGGTTTATTAGATTCATGTTTTATTATTTTTTATATTCTTATCATTTTTAATTTTATAAATATAATGAAGTTTTTATGAACAAAATCACAAATTTCAGTCGCACAAAACCGATTTTAATGAAAGAAATGGCTTGATGTATTGATGTAATTTCTTTATATATATATATTTGGCATAAAACGGCCTTAAATTTTCATTTTCAAAAATATTCAACTTATTTCATATTTTCCACAGCAAATTAATGGCTTGATCAAAGCCTTGTGTTGCACTGTATATCGCACTTATTTCATAAAAACTTATACATTTTTTTAAAAATTATTAATTTTAATAATATTTTTGCATATTTTCCATCTATATTATACGATTTCTTTCTTACTAAACGATATAGCTTTATATTAATAAAAAATTAATTATCAACTTTATAATATTTTTTAATCAATGACATCTTAATTATGGCGATAAATTGCCAGTGCTTATTTGGCTATTGACCCAGTCAATACCTTGATTACCACTGACCCCCTTTACAATTTCATCAACATCCAGGGGTCAATGCAGACCAGACTGCAAATTCTTGCTTCAGACTAAGTGATTTTAGTGATTTGCGATATTTCTTGCATGTTAATAAGAATTTCATTTATCGCTGTTTTACTATCTGACTTAATTTGCAACATGAGCTACTATTTATTTCAATAAAGTTTCAATTCCCTCCTGTTCATCTGCGTTATCAACACGCAGTAATGTGTATATACATATAAAGTAAGAAATTTAGAACCAATTTTACACAAAGACCAAAAATTGAAATTCATAAGTGATAAATTTCAAAAAATCTTATAAATATATAAAGGAATTTAATAAATGCAACAAGCAAACAAACTAAAACAAACAAGCAAAACGCTAATTCAAAAAATTAATGAACTTTAAAGAATATAAAAGAAGATGAATTCAATCAACTTTGATGCCACTTCGTCAGGAGGAGGAACATTGAAATCAATTAAAATCTCTCTTTCGCAAAAAATACTTGCTTTACTGTATCTTTTCTGTTATGGAAGAGAAATTTTAATTTATAAAATACTTGTTTTTAATTTATAAAATACTAATAATTTCCATAAAAAATACTTGCTTTCCTGTATCTTTTCTGTTATGGCAGAGAGATTTTAATTTATTTCAATGTTCCTTCTCCTGACGAAGTGACATTGAAGTTAATTGAATTCCTCTTCTTTTGTATTCTTTAAAGTTCATTAATTTTTTGAATTAGGGTTTTACTTGTTTGAAGTATTTTAGTTTTAACATTTATTAAATTATTTTATATATTTATAGGATTTTTTTGAAATTTATCACTTGTGAATTTCAAATTTTGGTTTTTGTGTAAAATTGGGCCTAAATTTCTTACTTTGTCTTTACTGATAATTTTTCAGCAGCTTAATGCACGAAAATACTAAGCATGACTATACTATGCTATTTAAAAAAAAACTGTTTTGTTATTATATATGTATAGATATATGCGTATAAAAAATATACTTCTAACCTATCTAGAAGACCACTGACTTCCAGTCCTTTTTCAGTGCATTTTCCTTGCGTTACTTCAATCCCGTTCATGGACTTGATAGGATAAAACAGTATTTTAGCAACCTTTCCCACTCTCAGATAGGTTCTTTTTTTCTTCTTCCATATCAAAATTCCAGCTGCACTCAAGGCAACAGCACACAATAACAGAACACCAGTTTGCCAAATTTGAGCCATTTCTGGAACCTTTAGAAGTAAAAATTAATTCATATTTTAGTATTCATCATTAAAAATTTAATTGCTGTAATGGCAGGGGTATACGCGTACTCGGGGATCATCAAAAACAGTAGAAGTCACCAAATTTTCAGAATGTGTGTCAAACTCTAGTTACCACACGCATAACTATTTTTTAGGCAACCAAGCTTTATAAAAAAACAATCAAGCTCATACAAATTCTTCCATCAATCAGCGCCATAATTTTCATATGTGTTCTTTTTGCCATTCCAACTGTTTTTATAAGACAAATCGTGATATTTTTTACCTTAGGCTAAATTTTAAAATATGTGCCCGTGGAATTTGCCAGCAATGGAAGAAACTACAATAAAATTTGTGCATGAATGCAGTATTTTGCCACAAAATTGTCAAGCGAACAATGATGAGCCGAGGTTTAGTAGACAGCTGTGCACAATGCTGGGTTTGCGTAATGTCAAGTCTGATGTGTTTTTAGTCGAAAACAGATCGCTGTGTACATAGAGAGAAGAGCAGTTAAAAACAGCACTGTTGTAGCTTATGTTGTAGCTGTAGTAAAATTTTAAATAATGGTTAATATCGTTTTATTTGTTTTTTGTTGTTTTTGGAATGGCAGCGAAAAGATTATTCAATTTTGTTGTTTGTTTTATTTGTTGCGAACTGTGAAAGTTAAGTGTTAAAATTTCTCTAATTTTGGCTGGATCGCCCAGAAATCTGGTTTTTTTCATGTTGAGGCTGAGTTTAAAGTTGTAGAGACACTAGATATATTTTTGGAAGCAGAAAAGGTGAAAAATTAACAACGCCTTCGCTGGGAATCGAACCGAGGACCTTTGAAATACCGGCCCAGTGTGCAGACCACCACACCACGAAGGCACACTAAGAAGGTGGGAGAAATACTTTATAGACTCCCCCTTTAGGGCGACTGGAGTTTTTAGGGGACCCAATCGCCAAATTTTGGGTGAGGAAAATCCTCATTCAACACTCTTTTAGTTCGGACGCCCCTGTAGAGATATTAGGCATATTTTTGGAATCAGGAAAGATGAAGAATTAACAACGCTTTCGCCGGGAATCGAACCGCGGACCTCTGGAATACAGGCCGGATGTGCAGACCACCACACCACGAACGCACGCCAAGAAGGTGGGAGAAATACCTTATAAGGAAAATAGGATTGTTTCGGAGAAATACCTTATAAGGAAAATAGGATTGTTTCGGAGGAATACCTTATAAGGAAAATAGGATTTTTTCGGAGAAATACCTTATAAGGAAAATAGGTTTGTACTAACTACTTAGTATCACAGTTAGAACCCAAATATGTTGAGAACATCTGGGATATCGTAAAAACTAATTCCGCTACGAAATATTCAGAATCCAAAAAGGCTTCTGGATTTATTCAAGGAAAGTAAAAGTACTCGAATTAAAAAACTTCTTACAGGAACCGATTTAGGCAACTTGAAACCAAGTCATTATTACAAAAATTAAAATGTGTTGCAACATCGGATGTGTCCGCAAATTTAATTAAAACATTACGGTTGGAGAAACTGCCGCATTCTTTACGTAATATAATACTTGTTAATGACGGAGAATTACCCAAGTTGGCGATCATGGCTGATAAAATTTCAGATATGACACCTTCTAATCAGATTTGTGGCGTATCTACAGCTGGTAATTGCTGGAATACAGAATTGTTAATGAAAATTCATTCCCTTAAACAGTGAATTGTCCAAAGGACTGTTTATCATATATCGAGACCACGATTTAGCACTACTCTCAGTCCTGCAGATGATCTCGCAGTACTTCTAGGAAAAGATTTAATCCTAAAGGAAAATATTGTTTTTGTCATTTCCATTTTCGTAACAAATATCATCAGGATAAATGTACTCAGCCGTGCAGTTTGTCAACTGATAGGTCATCCAATCAGAGAACCGACAATGCGCAGTAGAGAAGGCGGCAAGCTCTACGACCGATAATGTTCCAGAGTGTCGCCAATTTATCAGAGATAAAAAATCAAAAGTGCGTTTCTTAGTGGATGGTTCTGCAGATTTTAGAATTTTATCCGCATCAACACAACACAAACAATCCGCAGATTTCATGTTGTATGCAGCGAATGGTACCGAAATCGAAACATCTGGTATAAAAATGTTAACACTTGATTTGAGGCTTAGGCGTGAATTCCAATTTGCATTCATAGTAGCCAAAATTAAAATTCATAGTGGCCAAAATTTAATTAAAAATTAAAGGTATTTTAGAAGCTGATTCCTTTAACAAATTTAAATTAATAATTGATTTGCATGGCAAGAAATTAATTGATGGAGTAACCCAACTAAAGGTAACTGGTGAAGTTGCTTTCATTAGTGAAAATAGTGATATCATTACGGTAAACTATTCGACAAAATTTTGTACTCTTCTAAAATAATATCCAGACTTATGCAAATCAAATTTGTTCTTATCAGGTTTAAAACATAATGTTCCAATTTCATGGTCAACCTGTGCATTCTAAAGCCAAACAGTTGGATTATCGAAAGCTTGCAGTAGTTAAGCAAGAGTTAAAATTCATGTTCGACATTAATATAATAAGACCCTCAAGTTCTCAATCGATAAGTCCTCTTCACGTAGTGCTAAAAAATGATGATACCCTTCGCCCATGTGGAGATTATAGACAGCTAAACAATAAAACAATTCCTGATAGCTATCCTATTCCTAGGATTGGGGACTTCCATCATATTTTAAACGGTACAAATTTTTATTCCAAAATAAATATATATAAGGCCTACTATCAAGTGCCCATTGCCGACGAAAACAGATGAAAAACTGCTATTACTTACTCCTTTGGGATTATACGAATTTAATGTCATGAGCTTTGGTTTGAGAAATGCACCAACAACGGTTCAAAGATTTGTAAATACAGTTCTTTCTGGTCTAAATTTTGCTTTTCATTGCTTAGATGACATTCTGATAGTATCTACTAGTGAGGAACAACACAGAATCTATTTGAAACTAATGTTTGAAAGATTAAATGACTATGGACTCCGCATAAACGTTTCCAAATCCATCTTTGGCACACCAGAAATAAAATTCTTGGGTTATTTAATTAGTCCTCAAGGATCACGACCTTTACCTTATAGGGGGGTTATATTTATTTTAACTAATAATTTAAAGTTTTATTTGAAACTTTCCTGTAAGCCTTCATTCCCTTAATTGTCAGTGCCGAAATAGTTAAATGTTGTAGGGCGCGTCAACGAATGCAAATTTTCTATTTTGAAGGAAGCACTTAAAAGCCGAGTTTCAGTAGGAGAAAGAGAGAATTAGGTTCTAGCTACCGTCTTTGCCGTAGGTACGTTTGCTTATTGCTGGTTCGAGTGGCTTAATTGCATTGCTTTGCTGCCACTAGTTTAGAAGGGGCTTGAAATTACGAGATCTCGCTGAGCCCTGTAAGCTAGTTTTATCACTTGTTAATAAAGGGTACGTGAACCCTTCTCCTATATAGTTTCCTGCTACTCCAGTATACAGACAGAAGTTAACCCACCTGGACTCTATATTGGCGCCCGAATTAATATGAACCAACAAGAAAATAGTCAACGAAGAAGTATCCCCACAAGGCTCAGAAGTGGCAGACCCAATGATGACCTCCCCATTAAATAGATTTGGCTTCCTGATACAAACAATGAGGGCCGAAATTAAACCAGCAGTGGTATTTGACGGAAAGAACTCGGTCACCCCATTTTTGGAAGCCTTTGAGACGCACTTCCAATTGTATCCGGTACCGGAAAGGCAAAAAGTGGCTGTTCTCTCGAGTGCCCTCCGAGAACAGGCGGAGGCTTGGTGCAGAGGTTGGATCACTCACCAACACTCACGAAGAGTTGGATCCCTTACCTATACATTCGAGAATTCCAAAGGAGCACTTTTAAAAGCGTTCCCGAAAGTTAAAGAGCGTGCCAAGCTTGAAGCCGAATTACACAGGCTTTTACCAACGGAGGGTTGAAGAACTAACCGAATTTATCCTACGAAAAGTCAAGCTAGTGAACATGCTATACGGTAGGAAACCCGACAGTGAAATTATCGAAATCATACTGCCAATATTATTATCCCCGTTCGGATTCGGGAACTCGAAATCTCGAACGTGCAAGAATGATTCGACTTAACCGAAAGTTTCGAATCGGGATAGCAGAAGAATCCAGATTCTAGCAGAAATTAATCAGCCGTCCATGCAGGCATAGCCTCGGAAAGAAATAAAAACAACGGAGGAAACCGTTTTTCACCTAAGCCATCAACAAGCAACAATGATAAGGATGACGCTAAAACCCGCCAGCGTATCCAGAAAACAGCAAGAAGAAAAACGGCTTTAAACGAATAGAGGGGTTGGAGAATTTGAGGGTTCATACCCCTTGCGCATCGAAAAATACCTTTAAAATGTATTTAAATACTGTGGTCATGATTAATTTTTCAAGTGCAGGATTTAATTTTTTAAGTAATTCAATTACGTTGGATATGGAGCCAAGGTGGTGAAAAGCTGCTGAAAAAATTCCAGAAATTGATCTCCAGCATTTAAAGCAAGATGAAAGAGCCAAACTGCAAGAAGTCGTAAGTAGATTTTCTTTGTTATTTTCTGATAAGTCAGGAAACACGCAGATAGTAACTCATTCTATTGAATTAAAATCAAATGAACCTTGTAAAGCAAAACCGTACAGGTACGACAGAGAAAGAGGCCATCATTGAGCAACCCAATACAAGAGATGCTAAATAAAATTATAACTCCCATAAATAGTGAATATACGAGCCCTATTGTGCTCTGCAGGAAAAAGAACAATTTGCCCCCCCCTACGGATCCCAAAGCATATCGCTTTGCTATAGATTATAGAAAACTTGACAGTTTAAGTAAATTTCCGGTTTACCCTTTACCCGTGATTTAGGAGATAATTAGGAAAATAAAATCTACAGAATTTATGACTACTCTTACTTCAGGATATGTTCAAATAGCCATGAAACCGGAAGACGTAA